GAGTCCAGGTGGTTGAGTATCAGAGTGTTCCATCTTGTTTCCCTTTGGGGTTGCTGTAGGTGATCTGGAAGTCTGGTTTTGAGGCTTGTTTATGTGTCTTGTCATTTCCACGGGATGGAGGTGTTGCTGGTGCCTGAGCAGCTCACCTCCTCTGAGCTAGGAGCAGTGCTATGGTGGCCTCCTTGTCTTCTTGATTATAGACATCCTAGTGGTATGAAGTGATACCTCACTGTGGTTTTTATTCACATTTCCCTGTGGCTAATGACTCAGAGCATCTTTTTGTGTGCCAGAAGAGACATTTTACCTAACAATGCTCAGACATCTTGGGAAATTATACCTTTGACTCTGGGACATGATTTTTTCAGTTTTGATTTTTTAGATACATATTTCCTTGAGTTGGCATAACAGTGTTTTTGTAGCCAGTAAAGGACAGATTAGAAAAGCTCATACGCTAGCAAGTTTTTTGAGAGATTGAGCCAGTAGGTTCCAGAAATTTCATCCATCAACAGTGAAAATATTGGTGATAAGTCAATAGGCTGTAGAGTAGGTCTTAAATACAGTTTTATCCCTATACTTGCCTCTTAGATAGAAATGGAGTCTTTCTTTCTTTCTTTCTTTCTTTCTTTCTTTCTTTCTTTATACTGAGGATCAAACTCAGAACTTTGCACTTTAGGAATGGAGTTTTAATATCCCTTGCTTGGAATTTTATTTCCTATGCACTTTTGATTTAGTCTTATGGGAGCTGTCGACCTCACAACTTAGGGACCTTGGAAGGGAGAGTGAGAGCCTGGTAATTTCAGAGCTAAGTCTACATATGCAGTTACTCAAAGCTAGAAGCCATCCTGCCTGCATCCTCCTCTTTCTCTCACCTTCCACATCTAATGCATTGAGTCTAAAATGTAACCCTTGCCCCATCTCTCCTGCCTCCACGATGGTGTGCATCACCATTATCTTCTCTCAGGTCACTTCTATAGCCTCCAGACTAGAATCCCTGCTTCCACTACAGTCCATTTTCAGCACAGCACCCAGAGCTATCCTTTAATATATCAAGGCAGAACATGTCAGTCTTTTACTCAAAACTTCCCAGGAGTCAAAAGTGCATAGGTAATAAAATCCCAAGCAAGGGATATTAAAACTCCGTTCCTAAAGCGCAAGGCTCTGAGTTTGGCCATGTTTCTTAAGTTATTCAGTTTGTGGTACATTGTTTAGGTAGCCCTCGAGACTCAATAACACAGAAATTACTCTTTGGCAGGCTCACTGGCTCAGAAACCTTGAGTTCACAATAGGGAAGCAGGTTCCCTCATGGGGGAGAAATACTGAGCAGAACATACCCACAGTGCCTGACATGGGAGAATGCCATTTGCCTACTATCCCTAAGATCATGTAAGATGGTGTATCTGGAATTCAATCCCCAACCTTTGAAACACTGCAACATTTTAAGAAGAAAATTTGCAAAGAAACAACCAAAAAGAAATTACTACAGAATAAGTCTGATGGTTATTTAATGCTTTCTTCAGCTGAAAAAGAATCATTTACAAGTCTCTTAGAATTCTAAACATTTTCCTCTCTGATTTTTAAGATAAATGTGTTTATTACTTTGGAGGCCTGGTAGGGAAAGGGATCTCTGCTGATTTTTTGCAGAGTTCCTTAAAACAGAGGGCAGAGCACAAGTTCTGTCTGTTCATTTTGTGGCAGGTGCTTCATCCGCATCCCTCTCTCTTCACATGACAGAGCACTCTTCAAATGCTCACCTATCAACCTCCAACTCTGTGCCCCCAAACAGGGCTCAAACATTTATGCATTAAACAACTACAACAGAACTACTGTGTGCCAACAAAGTTGAATGCCAACTCATACCAGGTACACAAATTAATTCAAAATGGATGAAAGACCTAAATGCAACACATAAATCTATACAACTGTCAGAGGAAAGTACAGGAATAATTCTCCATTGGCTTGGGTTTAACAACCAGTTCTTAGAAATGACACCAAAAGCACAAACAACCAAAGACAAAATAGATAAATTGGATTTTATCACAATTAAAAAAATTTTTGTGCATCAACAGATATTATCAGGACAACCTACAGAATGTGAGAAAATATTTGCAGGTCATATATCTGATAAGGTTCCAGATGTAAGCATGAGCAATGATTACATCTCAATGACAAAAAGGCAACCAAATTAAAAATGGGCAAAGAACTTGAAGAAATATTTCTCCAAAGAAGATATGCAAATGGTCAGCAAGAATATGAAAACATGCTCAATATCATTAATCACTAGGGAAATGCAAATCTAAACCACAATGAGCTATTACTTCATACCCTCTAGGATGACAGTAGTAGTAGTAGTAGTTGTAGTAGTAGTAGTAGTAGCAGTAGTAGTGGCAGCAGTAGCAACAGCAGCAGTAGTAAAAGAAGAAAATAGAAAGTGTTTGAGGATCTGGAGAAATTATAACCCTTATGCATTGCTGGTAGGGATATAAAATAGTGCAGTGATTTGAAACACAGTTTGGCTGTTATTCAACAATTTAAACATAGAAGTTATATATAACCCAGTAATTCCAGTCTTAAGTATATATACAAAGGAAATGAAAACATGCGTTGAAACAAAATGAATGGCATAAAATGAAAACATTTTATTGAAACAAAATGTGTAGCAAAAATCATAGCAGCACTGTTCATAAAAGTAAAAGCAGAAACAGCCCAAATATACATTAACAGATGAATTAATGAATAAAATGAGGTATCTATACTGTGGAATGTTCCACAGCCACACAAAGAATGAGGTGCTGATAAATGCTACAACATTGAAGTACATTATGCTACACAAAAGAAAGCAGACACAAAAGGCTGCATACTGTATGTTTCCATTTACATGAAATGTCCAGGTTAGACACACCCATGAATATAGAAAACAGATTAGTGGTTGTCAGGGGATGGGGGAGGGGTAAGGTCAGAATAACTGCTTAGTTGGTACAGGATTTCATTGTGAACTTACTAAATGTCACTGACTTGTTCACTTTAAAATTGTTAAACTAAGGAATTTAATGTTATATAATTTTTCCCAGTACAAAATAAATGGTGCTCAGTGCTGCTGGGACTGTAACACAGAAGTTTTAATGAGGCTTATGATGAGTTTTTCCTAACATGGCACACACTTACACTATAATATTAAGTGAAAAAAGAAAAGGAACAAATTTTCCACACAATATGATCTCAGCCACCCAGAAACAAGAAAAACCTGTGCACAGAAAAAACAAAAACAAACAAACAAATCAGGGGAAACATACCAAGAGGTTCATGATGATCTCTAGGTGGCAAAATTCTTTCTCTGACTTTGTTCTCATCTTTTTACTTTCTAATACTTTTAACTTTTTCTTTAAAAAGGAAAAATGTACATTGTCACTTTTATAAGGGAATAAAACACTGCTTTTTTTTAAAGTAGGGAAAATAATAAATGGGACTTGAACTGAAAAGAAACAGTGGATAGAGATAAAGAGACATGGAGAAGCCAAAATCAAGAGAGAATACACTTTGGGGGAGTAATCATGCGATTTGGACTTGGAAATTGCCAGCGAACAGATGGTAGTGTCCAAGCAGACATCTGCAATGGATAGCGAAATCATATGCAGACACAAGTGGCCTTTGAAGCAGGCCCTTGAGAGGCCTCTCGGAGAAGGCTGCTTGTCTGGCCAAACAGAAGGGACAAACCCCTCTCTTCCTCGTCGCAGCTCGGCCTCCTCGGAACCCCACCAGAGGCCTGGAGGCTGCAGCAGGGCTCAGCACAGATGCACTTGCACATGTGAGGGTGTGAAAGAGCTCGTGGGAGTAGAAAAGTTTCTGCTAATGATACTGGCAAACATCGCAGCTGACATTTACATGGCGCCTCATGGTTTATAAACATTCTCATGCAGATAAACTAAATGTTAGCTGCTGTGGCATCCTCTCTTTTTATGGCCCTGTGAGGTAGGCAATTCTTATTCCTATTTTTCCATGGAAGTACAAGGTACACAGAAGTGACACAAATTTATTTATTTAGCATTTATATAGTGCTCACTATCTGCCAGACACTTTCCTGAGCACTTTATGTGCATTAATTGCCCAAGTCCACAGCTACTAAGAGACACAATTGAGACACAAATCTGGCTTTTCAGACACTATGACACCACTCTTCTGCTCATGTCTTAGTAGAATTTACCTCTGTGTGCAGAATCTCAAGTAAGGTCATAAGTGGTTCTATCTATCTATCTATCTATCTATCTATCTATCTATCTATCTATCTATGTACCTATCATCCATCCATCTATCCATTTACTCACCCACCTACCCACCAGTCTATATTTTTCTGGTTATTAACATAATACATGATTGGTAAAAATGTAGATTTTACCGAAATAAGTATCATAGAAAGTAAAAATCCTCCTAAATCTCACACCTAAAGATAGCCATTCTTGACTGTTTCATACATGTTCTTCTAGACTTTTTTCTCAGTGTAGGCTAACACACATTTTAATTTTATTTTTATAAGATAATATGTATCTACACTTAAGTCCCAGTTTACTTAATATTAAGCCTTGAAAATCTCTTCATGACTATAATAGGTTGATCTCTTATGTTTTAATACTCCATCATATAAAGGTAGTAATTTTCCTAAGTAGCTACCTAGTGATACATACACAAGTTTTTCAATTTTTCTTCATTAGAAACAATGCTGCAATAAATATTATTGTACTTGTAGCTTTGTGTGTATGTGTATTTGTCTAGAATAAGTTTATGGAAATGGAATTGCTGGGTCAAAAGTATATACACAACTAAAATTGTCATAGATACTGGCAAATTGCCCTTCAAATATACTACAGAATTGGCACTCCCACCAGCAGCAAGTAAGTGACTCATTTCCCTCTGGGCTTGCCCATGCTGGGTATTCTCAGTCTTCCTAAATTTTATCAATCTCATAGGCAAAAATAGTATCTCATTATTGTTTTTTTTTTTTCTTAAAATAGTGAAATGGCATTTTTTTACACTATTGGATTTCATATTTCTAATTTTGTAAGTTGATCATTCCTGTCATTTAGCCACTGGTTTTATGTTAGTATATTGTAGAGAAGAGAGGCCCTTGCAGAGCATATGAGACTATAAGACATTCTTTTTGAGGAACAAGTAAACTCCTGAGATTTATGCTCACCATAAAGCCAGTTCTTAAATGTTGTGTTTGACGTCATTTTGGAGAGCTCAGCAGAAAAGCAGTGTAAACCAACAATAATCGAGACTTTGTTTCATAGTAATTACCGTCTTGTGGGATTAGCTCTTGATTTATTAGCCACATGAAGCATAATAAGATAATAGAATCACATTAGCCAGAGACAAAAATAAGCACTTGCTCATCCACCATAGACAGTTCAGAAATAATTCTGGCAAATGGATGGAATGCATTTCTGCACATGGATGTGTGCAAGTTGGACATGTGTGTGTGGGCAGGTGTACACATGTGCTCATTTGGTTTAGAGGATTCCAGTAGAGGAATGGAGGGAGAAAGTGACCCCTTTCGTTGGTCAGATACAACACTGTGACTCCGGGTTCCCATTTTACTGAAGCAAACATTGAAGCATCGGGGAGTTCAGTTACTAGCTCCAGGTTATATTGCTTAGGAGTGTCAGAGTGGAGACTCCACCCCAGGATCTCTGACTCCAGAACCATTGGTCACTGTGTCTAAAGCTGTCTAGAGTGTCTTAATGCCACTGTGGCCCACTTAGGAGAGAGAATGAGGGCATCTGGGTGCACTCAGAGCAGTGGCATCTCTTCCATTTCTAAGTCCAAGAAGAAATCTTGGAGCTTCTGGATTGTCCAGCTGGTCATCTTTCAGACATTTGTCAGTGCCATTCAGTGAGAAGCTGTCTCCAGAGACAGAATAAATCAGGTAATTTGGCTCAGGAAAAGGCATTGGGGAAACAAATTAACTGATGCATCATGAATATAATAAGGCAGCTAGGCAGGTGGAAATAATTCTCTTTTGATTATATGTGTGAGGATTATGTGTAGAAAATTGGAAGTCCAGGCTGCCTTTCCTTGACCTCTTCCCTCACTAGCCACAGACTTGTAATGACCCCTCCAAGCTGTTCAGCTGGTGTGCACTCCTAGAAGGCTAACCTAACTTTTCATATTAGCCCAGGGAAAATAGAATTATGAAGAAACTCTTCTGCCGAAAAATCACATGCCAATGTGAAATACAGATAATTTTTGTGTTCCTACTATTTGCTTATTTGCATAGCATTGACTCATAATTATATTGTACAATTTGACTATATTGCCAAAGATGATAAAAGACTTCTAACTGAAATTTCATTGATTTTCTTTCTCCTGTCTCCAAATTTGGACAGATACACTTTCACTAAAAGGGAAAAGGCTGGATTTTTATGGAAGACGTGACACATATGTAAGCCTGACCAACATCATTCCTGAACTCAGCCGATACACAGCATGCATTGATCTGGTATTCATGGGTGACTATTCAAGTTATTGGATGGCCTTCTCCTATATTACTAATAACCCCTCCCTGGGCAGAAGCGACATAGACCTTGGACTTGCAGGGGACCATCAGCAGCTAATACTATACAACTTGGGCAAGACTTTTTATATCAGTTACCATCTAATTCCATTTCAGTGGCATACAGTATGCTTGATATGGGATGGTGTAAAGGGCAGGTTAGAGCTCTTCCTGAATAAAGAACGGATACTGGTAATAACAAATCGGCCACACAGTCTGACGCCTAATGGGACGCTGGTCCTAGGACACTTTCCTAAGAATGGAGTTGGACAGATTAAAAGTTTGGTACCTCGCTTTACTGGCAGCTTGTACTATTTTCAACTCTGGGACCACATCCTGGAAAATGAAGAATTTATGAAGTGTTTAGATGGAAATGTTGTTAGTTGGAAAGAAGATGTTTGGCTTGTCAATAAGATTGTTCCAACTGTTGACAGAAGACTGCGCTGCTGTGAGTAACTTATGCATTTTTCTTCTTAGCAAGGGCAACATTGATATGGTGCTCCTCTGCTTGCTACTTCAAGTAATCCACTCCTAGATCAAGGCTGTCTTCCTCCAAGGAGTTCAAGGGTGCCAAATGTTTGTCATGTACTCTTTAATGTACTCAGAAAATTTGCAAGAATAACAGAATTTATATACTCTTTACTCAGATTCACCAAAAGTTAACACTTTCCCATATACTTTATCATTCTCTCTACCTGAATTTCTCTCTTCTCTCTCCCCCCTCCTCTGTCTACACATATGAGGGCACACACACACACGCGCACACACACACACACACACACACACAAGCAAGCAAAATTTTTGTATCTGAGTCATTTGAGAGTAAATTGCAGGAATGGTCTGATTCCTTTTTATCATTAAATATCTCAGTGCATATTCCCTGAGAATAATGAACTCTCTTACTTAACCACGATACAATGATCAAAATCAATTTAACATCCATATGATATTAAGGACGAACTCATAGTTTATATTCAAATTTAGCCAATTGCCTTAATAATTTCTTTTGTAGTTTTTCTTTTTTTGCTTGGTCTAGAATCTAATTCAGGAGCACGCATTACATTTAGTTACCATGTCACTTTAGACTAATCTGAAACAGACCCTTCCTCAGAGTTTCCTTGTCCTTCAGGACTTTGACATTTCTAGCATGCAGTCCCACTATTTTGTAGAATCTTTCCTAATTTGAATTTGTGTAATTTTCCCTCGAGGTTAGGTAAGTACAGGCTATGTATTTTGGACAAGAACATCACAGAAATGACGTATTATTCTCAGCGTATCCCATCAGTACACATATGGTGCCAATTTGTCCCACTATTCATGATAATAACGTTTATCATTTGATTCTGATGTCTGTCAGATTTCCCCACTGCAAAGTTACTATTTTTTCTTTTGTCATATTAAATAATTTTTGAGGAGATATTTGGAGGGTATGTAAATATCTTCTTCTTATCAAACTTTTACCCAATACTTTTATACTTATTGATGATTTTTGTCTGAATCACTGTTGTTATAATGGTAGCAGAATTGTGATTTGTTTAAAAAATTTCTATTTTTTCTACATTTATTAGTTGGAATTCTATTGTAAGTAAGAGCTTTCTGTTCTTCCATTTTTACTTATACATCCATTCATTCCTGTGTTTATTTATATAAGAAGAAACTCATACTCATTTTATTCATTGTATTAAAATCTGTTACTGTTTATTTTGATACTCAAATTGGCTGAGATTTGGCTAGTGGGAACTCTTCAATATGGCTCTTGTGCTCTTTAGACTCGTCCCATCATTCTTTGATCATTTTCTTATTTTCTTGCACAACAGGATGTTCTAGGCTTAACGTGTACTTTTTTCTGTTCAGCCATTTTGCCAGTGAGGCTTAATTCCTTTTGGTGGGGAATAGCATTTACCAGCAATTCATTTTTCTTGTAAGTACCATCATGATATTGAAGAACTGTTTGTAATGGAGTTCTTGCAAAAAAAAAAACAACAAACTGTCTTCTTGGAATTATACATGCATTTTTCTCCTCTCTAGCTTTTAGAAGGAAATAAGAACTGTTTTTCTCTGTATAATTCCTCTGTTCCCTCATTTTCAATCCCCTCCATCATCAGCAGCAACAGCAATCCTGAAGCATGGCTACTCAGTAATAGTAGCATCAAGATAGGATTTTTCTGTTTCCGAAAGTGTTCACTTATTCTTACAGAAACGTTATTTATTCTTCTTATGGCTTTGGGGGAAGAGAGGTTAAGGAGGGAACAGGGGCTAGATCCAAGCCTAAGAGGGCTTTCACAGCCTATGAGGATATGTGTTCACCAATAATCTTGATGCTGTTTGAGTTAATGGCAGAGACACGTCACAAGGAATTTCTGTCTCTTTGAGATCAGGCCAAAGCAAAGGAGTAGGAAAGCTATTGCTTTATGCTACTACCTGAAGGTACTTGGTTTCTCCCTTTTTGTGGTCTTGAAAATAAATGAGGTAGTTCTAGCTGGTTGTAATGGCCCTGGTAAACCACATGCTTTTGCAGAGGTCTTTAAAAACCTAATATGTCCACCTAATGGCCGTGGCCTTTTCTACCACTTGGCTGGCAAATAACTAAATCTAATTGATGTGTTACATTGCTATACAACCCTCATATATTTTGCTCTTTTGTACATTGTTTAACATACAGTCCATCCTCTTAGTCTGATTCAGTTCTTGTGGACATAATACACAAATAATCTAACAGAACAACAGGAGAAAATGCTACCTAAAGTGATGATCAAGCCCAAAGGGTAGAAAACATTCTCTTTACTGTTCAGGTTTCTTTGAGTGTTCTTCCCAGGTTTTGAACAGGAGTTCCTAACTCCGAGGGCCAGAATGGCCTAGAAGGAGTTCACAAAGCCCTTGAAATTGTACACGACACTCTAAAACTGCAAGGTGGATTTTTTTCCCTGAGGACAGAGTCCATACTAATTTCCATGACATTACAACAATATGATAACTTTTACTAAGTTCTTACCATGTGCCAAGCTTTTTATAGATGAGGAAAGAGAAGCTCAGAGAGGTTAAGCAAATTGCCTAAGATCTCCAATCAAATAAGTAGTAGAGCTGGGGTTTGAACAAAGACGTGTCTGTTTGCAAGGCCCATCTTCTTTGCACTCCCACACCATGAAGAATCACCTGAAGGGAATCTGTGGCCCCGAAAGGTATTGAACCTCTGTCTTAGAAGCTTCCTTTGAAGGGAATTTCTGACATTGACAACCCACTGTGTAGAATTAGGCTACTGGCTGGACTTACTGCTGGCCTCATCGCTGAAGTACCTGCAACACCATACGTCTTCTACTTCTGTCTGGCCATGTGATATCTAAGAAAAGAGTTGCAATATGGAAATAAATATGAGCAATTATATAACGTGTCTAGGCTTAGCTTTTGCCTAGTTGGTATTTATAACCCATAAAAGGATTATTACCTTTAAAAATAAATTTTATTGAGCACATTGCTAGGTACAAATCTCTATAAATCTACTTACACTTAAGGCTTTTGGGGAGCATTTGTTGAAAAATGTGAACCCTTTCTGGGTTTAATAAATACTCATTGTAGTCGAGATGTCTCAGGGATATTTAAACAGCACAGTAATAATAACAGTAAAGGGGTTGTTAGAAATTTATTTTGGTTTTTTTAAAAAATCCTCTTTCCCTTATTTTTAAAAATCACAAGTGCAAAATATATGGTTGTGAATAAAATAGATTTAAACAATACAAAAGTATATGAAGTATATAGCAACACCTCCTCTATCTTCTCCATAGAGTTCTCTACTTTAAAGGACTTTTTCTTATGATTTTATGAGTGTGTGTACATGTGGATGTATGTGCATTTGTGTGTGTAACTTAAACAACAATAAAGCATATATGCATACACACATACACATTGTTCTACAATTTGATTTATTTTAACAATATTATTATGGACACATAAGTAAACTGAAACCTATTTTTAGGGCTGTCCATATTGCATTTTATAGATGTAACCTAATTTATTTGACTAACCTACCACTGATAAATATTTCAATTGCTTCATTTTTTGCAGTTACAAATAATGCTACAATAAATTTCCTCATACATACTTACGTCTTGGTATACATGAACTTGCAATTTTATAGGACACGTTCCTAAAAGTAGAATTTCTCAAAGAAAGCATATAAGCGTTTGCAATTTAATTGATTTATTATTTTACTAGTTATTTTATTAACTTTTCTTTAAAATCTGCAAAGTAAAATTAATAGATACATACAGAAAAACATTTAAAAATATAAATTCAAAATAAAAGTTTCCTTTCACTTCAATCCCTTAAGTGGCTCTTGCCAAAATTATTTATTAACAATTTCTTAGGCATATTTCAAGGAAAATGTAAACCTTAGATTTACCTGTAAATGTTCTTTTTTCAGTTGGGATAGTCATTATATGCACAGGCTTCAGCATCTGTTTTTAAATTTAAGAATACATTATGGAAGTATTTCCATATCAGAAAATATAGAGCTATCTGATTATTTCTCGGGGTAGGTTGCCGAATAGAATTATAGAATAAGGACATGCTATAATTTTTTCAAAAACTTTATTTGAAGGACTTTAAATGTTTCCCCAGTTTTTAGCTATGATAAAATTTACAAGAATTTTTAAAGTATTTGATGGCGACAAAAATGTCTTGGAACGGTCATTAAGGACTGATCACAAACTAAAGTCCCTTTTTAGGTATGGTGAGCATAATATCCTAATCTCAACCCAGACACGTGATCCAAAAAAGAATTTGTTCTGACTGTGAGTATATGAAGATGAAAAGTTTTCCAAAGACATGAAGATGAAATTACTCTTTGTTGTATACTGGACATCGCTTCTCGGCCTTTTGGTTAAGATCAAGTGTGCTGTACATTGGAGAAATCCCTTCTATTGAAAAGAATGAAATAACATAAATGGAGTCCATCCTGGGAAATCTACACTGTATTAAAACACAGCATTCCTTTATTTGTGCTGTCATTACTCTGCTGACATTTCTTAATTAAATACTCCAGCTGCTTTGAATTATTTTATGAACTGATCACACTTAAAAATATGCAGAGATGGATTGTATAGTTTATGTACTTTCTAAAGGTCTATTTTGGCCTACTACTAATACCTCTATCCAATTATCAGCTCTCATATGAAAAGCTCCATGGTAATGGGCTCTATTGCTGAAAGGTAATTTGGTCTTGCCCTTGTGCATCAATTCTCTGTGCTATCGTCGTTTTTCATCATGAAAATATAAGCATGAACTGCATGTAGTTTGCTCAAAACTTCCTTATTTGATTTCTCCTACACATGATGACATTCTCCTATAGATCTGGAGATGGAAGCTCTAGCCTGTCTTTTTCTTCGTGTTGCAGGATCCATTCTTCTTTCATGCCTTTACTTAAAATCTGAATGCAGAAGCCAATTTTTTTTC